CCTATCTGCCCCCAGCCAGTCCCCCCTGTGACCTGCAGCCCGGGATGCCATCAGTGTTCCTTGTTGTGTAGATTCAGATGAACACATGTGAGGTTAGATTTTGCTTTAATACTTACATATTCATTCATCTAAAATAGATTTTTCTGCTCTAAATTTCTATTTTGTTTTCCTTTTGTGTATTTAAGAGGTCTCAACCTGTAGTTCAGGCTGGTCTTGAACACACTCTATATGCCACGGTGGCCTCCATCTCATAGGAAGGACTGCCTCTGCCTCCTAAGTGCTGGGATTTCAGGCACGATTCACTACAACAACCAATCAAACCCTAAATTCAAAGACATTAACTAATTATTGTTTTGTAGCACAGGGATTCAAAGTTCAGACCTTTGCTCTCAGCTACATCTCAGTCCATTGGTCATGTTTTATTTTGATACCACTTCTTAGACATTTTGTGGCCCAAGCTGAGCTCAAACTTGTGATCATCCTGCCTCAGCATCCCAGAGGGGTGGGATTACACAGGTTGGGACCACTTCTGGTTTGTTCTTTATTCTGAGAACGTTCTCAGTAAGTCAGCATGCTGCGTTAGCTGAAAACAAATTTCATTCCATCCACAGCTGTCATTTTTGGCGGATCTCAGGAGAACGCTCTGCCAACAAATTCCCTATGTGGATTCAAAATTCATTCCATTTCAAATTTTTTGTCTCGCAAAGTCACCAAGTTCCCCAGGCTGGGCTGGAAGCTCTCAGCCAGCAACAGCATCATAGATAGTGGAACAAAGTCCATGCACCACCACTCTTATGGGATTTTAAATACTTTTCCTTCTTGTACTTAAAATTAGCATCAACTTTGTGTTCATATGAATGAATAAGTTAGATGTTCCTTTTCCCAATAAGCTGAAAAACTGCAATTTATCTGCAATTTATTTGTCTTTTTGAGACAGGCTCTCAATAGGCAGTTCGGGCTGGCCTTCAGCTCCGTGTGTAGCCCAGGCTGGTCTCTACCTCCCAATCATCCTACTGCCTCAGCCTTCCCAGTGCTGGGAGTACAGATGTGTGTCACCACACTGGGCACAAACATTCTATGCAGTATTTTTTAAAGTGTGTCAGTTGGCCATTCTGGAGCATTCCTATAAACACATCACTCAGGAGATTGAGGCAGGAGGATCATCATGAGTTTGAAGTTAGCCTAGTCCACATAGTGAGTTCAATGCCAGAGTGAACTACATATTGAGACTCTGTCTCCAAAAACAAAACAAAATGACTGGGTGTGGTGATGCATGCTTGTAGTCCCACCACTGGGGAGGCTGTAATAGGAGGATCATTGTGAGTTCCAGACAAGCATGGGCTACAAAATGAGCTTGAGGCTAGCCTGAACTGCATAATGAGACCGTGCCTCAAAAAGATAAAACAAGCAAACAAACCAACAAGAACAAAAAGGTGGATCTATTTTTTACCCATCTCCATCCCTAAGTAGTAAATTTCTCTTCTGTGAGCAGAATATGTGGAAATCTATCTC